GTATGAGTCATCATCCAGAAGACTTTAAAAATTTCTTTTTTCATCAATCATCTTGTTGTGAAAGCTTGGAAGAGGCACTTGAACTTAAGAAATCTTATATCCACCCTTTCTATTGCCGTGATGCTTGAATATTAAGAGGTTCTCCACTCAAATTTGTCATTTCATCTCAAGATTTTGCTCAGTGGGTAGACCAAAAAATTCATTGGTTTCTACTTGTTTGCTTGATACCTGAAACTCTTGTAAATTTGCTCCAATGAAGCAACCTCAAAACAAAAAAGATGAATAGAAACTCAAAAATGTGTCATATAATCTTCTCATTAATTCAAGATCAATTTTGTGAACTTATAATATTTAGTAGTGAAATTAAGGCTGTGCTGCAGTTGAGAGTTGTTCCTGGGAGACCAACTGCTCCTCCTACAGTTTGCCATGGATGATGATGATGGCTGTGTGAAGCAATATTGGGTCTCATAAGAATATGGAAATCAGAATCACATAAGCAACCTTTGAAAAATACAGTCCCAGTTGCCAACATCCAATTGACTGTGGTGGCAGATGGGCCAAAATTGCCTGACCCTCTAGGTTGCTGGTTCAATGCCCACTGGCCCCATCCCCCAATGGGGGTTAGGGGGCAAGTTTAGGGCTGTTTTTTTGTAATAATATGGGTGAAACTGGTTTTTGCCTTATTTTTGCCAGCTCACCCAGCTCACATACCAGCTCATCCAACTCATATACCCAGCTCACCCAGCTCTGCCTGTCTTTTTGTTTCAAACAGAAGATACAGCTATTCCGGGAAGTCTTGTCCACTTGGACTTTCAAGTTTTTATTTTATTTTTTTACTGAACTGGACCTGTCAGAACTGAACTACTGATGACAGCTGTACCTCCTTGGCTGTAGTTCAGTACAAAGAAAAATTTCAAAAATTTCAAAAAAAAAGAAAAGTGAGACAACTGGACAACCATTTCCGGAATAGCTGTCATGACACCATTTGCTTCTGTTTGGGACCAAAGGATCCAGTTGCCAAAACTCAAGTGGCTGCAGGTTTGGGAGAAATGGGTTTATGAGAAATGCCAATCATGAACCCTGCTAGTTTGATTCATTGACCAACAAAAAAAAAACAGTTATTACTTGGAGAAGAAGAGAACTACATGAAAAAAGAGATAATTTTTTTGATTAATGGCATGTAGACAACATAAAGCAACCACACATATTTTTCAAAATTTCAAAACCCATTTTTCTGCTGTGAGTCTGACTGACAGACCAGAATCAAGTTGATCAAATGAATCCAAAGTTCCCCCAAAAAACAAGAAAAGAAAAGAGAATCAGACTGAGAAACAGAAAGAGAAAAAGAAGAACAAAAAAGGGTTGAACTGAAACAAGGGAAGGAGAAACCTGAGAATGAAGTAAATTATTATACCCAACACACAACATACACTGATAGACACACACAGATACAAATTGTAATGTCCATGCAAAAAGAGGTCAGGAGGAGTATAGACTTTGCCTGTGAGTTGTGCTTGATGAATGTTTGTCTGCATCTTCTCCTAAAAAGAGATATCACAAGGAAATGGCTTCAATACCTTTGTGACCTTTTGGCTTGAGGTAAGAGTCTGCATGTGGAGTTTTCTTTGTGAGCATCTCATGATTGGACGATGTGTGTATATTCATGTGGGCATAGTTTTGAGTTGAATTTGAAATTTGAGAATGGGTTCTTATAGAAGTAGGTGGGGTAAAAAGTGGTATGATTGGTATGTGTTTGTAGACTGACAATCTTGGACAATGAGATTCTTTTGTTGAATGGATCCAGGATGTCAGAAATGTGCTTAAGAGCTAGCACGGATCGAGCGAGAGGAAGACCTAGATTGTGTGATGTTTTGGGTATCAGAGTCATCGATGAGCAGGTTACGAAAGTGACCAGCAGGGCTGAGAGAGAGCTGATCGAGTTCGGCATCCGAGTATCTGAGTTTGCGAGCCAGGAGATCTTTAGCTTGTTGGCGTTTGAGACTGCGCAGGACTGGGGCAAGAAGATTAGAGCAAAAGAGGAGTTCCTGATCAATGAGGTTGAGTGTTAGGAGACTAGATCTAGAGGTAGGCCGACGACTGAGCAATCGATTGAGTTTCTCGCGGATCATGAGGCGTTCGACTCGATGAGAGTTTTCGAGTAATCGGATCGAATTGGGCGAGGAGAGATAACAGCCACGTTGGATCTTTGACTCCAAGTTGAGGCCTTTCATCTTTCCCGACTTGGCCACCTCGAGTATATTCGGCCGACGTTTGAGATGAGGGGAGATGCATTGGGCGCCAACCGAGCGTAGTCTAGCCCGATGGAGCACCGCATCCTTCGAAAGATTGGTTAATAGTCCATTTCCTGTTGCGCCTATCGAGGCTAGGTCGGGCAAGTCGAGCCAGCTGAAGATATGCAGGATCAGGGTCTGCGGTAGACGGGCGATTGGGAACGGTCGACTGGGATTGAGTGCCAGCCAGGCTTTCAGTTCGTTATCTTTATCCGTCGGTTCTTCGGCTTGGTTGGGGAGTGGCACTTGAGAGACTGTTGAGGATGAGAAGACGAGTGGTTGTGATCTGGATGATGATGAACTGGGTATTGGTGAGGTATGTGAGGTTCCAGACATGGTTGGATGAGCTATATGCGGAGTTCAGCTTGAGGTGTGGCTTTTTTCGTCTTCTTGCTTGAAGTCTTTTCTGTTCAAGCGGGTGTCGGCCTGTTGTGTGGTCTCTGGTGTCCAAAAGTTTGTCTCCTTGGAAGTTGAACTTGATGGTTTTGTTGAGTCAAATGTCAAGGCGAGCTTGGCAACTGACTCCAGCCTGACTGCCGAGTTGACTTGTGTTGGAGTCGGACCCCCCTAGTAGCCCAGTCAACCCCCCCTTCAAACAAACGGCTTAACTTGTTTTTTTTTTTTTGCAAACAAAAAGGGTTTTAACTTTTCAGCATCAGGCATCTGCATGACGTAGCCCTCTTGACCGCCAACGTCAATCTATGTTCCATTGATTGTCCCCAGTAACAGTTTAAGATCAAATGAGCTCACCATGATTTGCTCGTATCTCGTCCGAGTTCCCAGTGCTTTTTGACCACAAAGTCTCAACGGTTCCAACCCCAGCCGGTCGGTCGGTCTCCTCTAAGAGCATCATGAGGTTTTCTATCTGGCATTGGCTGAATGTACAATTGGATTGCGCATAATATCCACGCTGAGTGGTTTGGTTTCAGAGACCCACATGAGAGATGTGAAGACAGTGTTTGGTCTGCTGGAGGAGACTGGAGGTCAATCAAAGAGATCACCTCACCATACAAGCTAATGCAGGACCTATCGGCTGGACTATCAGGGACCATCATCTGTAACAATTCCCAAGTCCTGCCCATCAGAACTACGAGCAAAAAGGAGGTTCTGGTTTACTTTCAAGTCTTAAGAATGTCATTTCAGCCGTCGTTTTCAGTTCATTGAAACATGGTTGGGGGATACATTTTATCTAGTTGGACTCTAAAGCGTCATTAGTGAAAAAAAAAATCCAAAGAAAACAGAAGGAGCAATCAAATAACTCTGATATGAATCTTCTCAAGAGGGAAAAAAAGAACTGTCTATGTAACACTCATTTCGAATTTTAACATATCACAAACAGCACAAGCGTTTGTTACTTCTATGCTACAATGTCAAAGAAACTACGTCCAGAAGAGAGAAAGGGAATACCAACGAGCAGGAACAAAAACAGAAGTGAGTGGGCACCTACCAAACATGACACAAAAAAAGGAGGGGAAAAAATCTAGGATTCCAGATGGATGATCAGATAGTTCCAAGTTTAGACCTAATCCAAGTGGTCCGAAGTCGAGCATCAAGGGCGATATAAGTTTCAGCATGTTCAAGTGGGCTGAGATAGTCGATTGCCTTAAGGAGTTCTGGTCCTTCGAGCTGACCGTCAAGCTGGAGTAACCTGATAGCATCGACCCTTACGCTAGGTCTAATCTTAAGATTATCGCCGATATCTTTAAGATGTTTGAGGAACAAGTCCTGCTGAGTTATCCGACGACGCTTGGCGGAGGGTGGTGCGGAAAGGATGGGCTGGTCGCGATGCTGATCGTCCTGATCCTCCTCTTCGAGTCTGTCGCTCTGCCAGAGCAATGGATCAAAGGACTCGTTGGGCGTGCTTTCGTCTTGTTGATCCGGACTAGAGCCCCTTGAGACCCAGCGTGCGGCTCCCCGATCAGCCGTCTCCTTCGGCTCGTTAATGGCCACCCCATTTCCTTCTATTAAATCGCTGACTTGGTGGTATAATGGAAAGTGCTTCTGTCGCCATCGGTATAAGCTCTTCCCTTTCTCACTCGAGTTGGCTAAGAAACTCGTCCATATATCTTCTGGCAAGATCACCCGTTGCATCTTCTCATCCCATCGGGCTCCATCCAAGCTACGGAGATGTTTAAGTTCAAGGTAACTTCGTTTGAGCTTTTTTGTTTTGTTTTAGAAAAAAAAAAGGAGGACACAATGCAGATATTAAGTGAAATGGTCTAGAGAGAAGAGGAGAGGAAGCCAAGAGAGACATACTGAAGAATAACGACTACGACAACCGGTAGCGTCCTTAGCTTTAGAGCCCGTTTTTTCCTCCGAGCCAGCCAGTGCTCTAGCGGCGGCGGGCCAAGTGCTGCCCTTGTAGCCATTAGCGGGGGACGGATTCCTCTGCAGCTCAGCCTTCAAGAAGGCAATCAGCGTCAAGTCGTCCTCTTCAGTCCAACGACAGATCGGCTTGCTCATCGGAGGACCCGGCGAGTCGACGATCGCTCGGCTCGGCCCCGGGGTCACTGCTGGCTTGATCATCTGGATTACCTCCTCTATCCCTCCTACTACTTCTTCAATTCGTGTTTGCATCTGATCCTCGCGTCCGGAAAAACTCCTTAAATTTACTAAACACTTAAACACCAAGAAAGTAAAAAAAAAAAAAGAAAAAAAAAAAGGTATGTGTCCGCGGTTGTTACGATATGATGAAGTTGAAGACGTCACTTATAAAATCGATGTGAATCTCAAGAGGGAGAGGCAGAGAGCGGACCTAAAACATGAAGTGATCACAAGCCATGTACACAAGATTTCAAGTCCACCAACATTCCGAATAAGAAAACCCGAGCTGGTAGCCGAAGAAGACGGTAACCAAAGAACGCCAACGTTATAGAAACTGTTCCCCCCTCCTGTCCCCATTGTCCGGATCTTGAAAGCGTTACAGCTCGGTTTGGATGGTAACCGGTTTGAGTTACATATTTTTTTTTTCTTTCTTTGGCTTTTTTTTGTAAACTTCTTGCAGGGGCTGTGGGGATTATGTAGGTGCCTCGCTCCGGTACCCGCACAGCCGAATCGATCGAAACACCTCATCTTGTACCTGTAAACTTCAAAGAAACACTTTGGTCTCCGTCTTCGAAATTCTGTTCGAGCCGTTGGCCTGGGGCCATTGGCGGTTTCACCATGACTTTATCCGGAAGCCTAAGGGATATCCGGCAGGTAAGGGTATCTGTGACTATCCGACGTGGGTGGTGATACATGGCTTACACATGACGTAAACCTGGCTTCATGCGCTTGCATGCTCAAACCTTCGCAGTGGTGGTGGTCAACAGCCAAGACGACTTGGAGATCATCAACCAACCAACAAGATGACCATCATTCTCCAATCTCAAACCCAACGAGATCATTCGAAAATATTCAAAAGCTTAGGCCTAGCAGAGGACGTAAAAGCGATCAACGTATTCGCATATCTTCTTTCATCCTTTGTTTCGGTCTCATCCTTAGTCTTTATCAGTGCCTCCACCAGCTTCGTTTTGACCACTATCATCCATTTACCTTCGGATAGAATCGGCCGAACTAATGGGTTCGTTTCAGTTTCTTCTATCCTTTTCTGTTATAGCTCCGTTTCTCATCTTCCTTGAAATCTGACGACCCTTGCTTTTTTTTTCTGCTTTGTATAAAGGGCGTTGATTTTGTTGGACGAGCTGGTCGCTTTACCCGCTGTTTTGGTTTGGGGTCGACTAGCTGATATTTATGGCTATCGTACGGTCACTGTTATTGGACATTTGGCAATTGGTACACATGAACTTCAGTCTCAAATGTTATGATAGACAGATCCATAATTATTGATGTTTACGTGATTTTTCTTTTCTGTCAGCAATTTCTCTGACAATATATATCCAGTCACGATTAGAATATCAACTGTTTCTATCTCGGATTATTCTCTCGGTCAGTCACGCGGAACTTAACGGATTCTCGTCCTTTTATTCTAAATGGGGGTCTTGAATGTTTCTCATCTATGCGCAGGGTCTGTAGATCGGTTTTGCGGCTTTGACGACGATGCTGAGTACGATTCTCGCCTCGATGACTGCCTCGCGTCTTTCACCACCGATTCCCGCGGTTTGCGAAGAACCTGTGGGCAATATCGAGGGGCAGATAAATTTGTTATCCAGGATCAGGAAACGCTCTTTGATCGTTAGTCAGCGCTCATCGCGTCTGTCGGGATTGATAGGCTTTACAGTGGTTTGGGTGCTCTTTTTGGAGGTCAGTCAGTCAATCCAATCATCATTCATCGGTCGATCTCGCGCTATTTATTGCTGAATTCGAGACGTAGTTTTGTCTTTTGCGATGCCTCCTATTTTAGCACTGAGTCACTCTCTGTGCGTCAGTCTGGAGCAGCGTCAGAAGATCATTTTATGTTGCTGCCATCATCGCTTTGATCACCAGTATCCTGATGGTTTTCGGTCTTTGTCGACGAGGAGAAATGGTGTGGCCGATGAAGATTCCTTCGTCGAACCCTTCAACTCATTGGAAACAATCGATCCTAGCACTTCTGTTAGGGTTCAAATTGATCAAACAACATCGTCATTTGATCGTAGCTTATGCTTCTGGGTTCGCTGTAAGCCTCTAAAAAATGTTTTTGCTCCTTTTGTGATCAAGAATGAATCTGAAGATCATCCCCTTCCTTTAGGCCCGTGCAACGACAATAGGTGTTACCGCCTATATCCCCGTCTTTGTAAATCAATACTTTATATCGACAGGACAATGTCAACTCGATAGACCAGATGCGCCACCTGATGAAGTGAAAAAGGGTTGTCATGCTGCGTTTGCTTTGGCGAGTGCTCTCACAGGAACTGTCCAGGTTGGTCGATGCACCGTTCTGATTAGGGAAATTCACACTGATGATAAAATTGCACACAACAGCTGTGTGCGCTATTACTATCACCTGTTGTAGGATGGATGGCGTCGGTCTATCCTCAAGCTAGAATCCTTGCCACCTCGAATCTCTTGAGTGCACTGGGATTTATTGGATTCGGACTGCTTCCCAGGCCAAACCATTTCTTAGTCTGGCCGATATGTATCTTACTCGGCCTGTCACAGATCACTGGGATTGTTGTGTCTCTGAGCCTCTGTGCCAGTTGTCGATGGCAGATCTTCCATTCCGAGTCCGCTATCTCTCGTCAAACTGAATCCACCCCGTTGATCTCTGATCCTCCCCAGTCCAATCGAGCACCATGGCAGGAAATCAGCGGTGCCATAGCCGGCGTTTACTCCTTGTCCGGTGGACTTGGAATCCTCGTCGGATCCTTTGGTGGGATCCTTTCTGATTGGTCACCTCGAGCTCCTTTCTATCTCACTGGTGTAATAGCTTTTCTAGCCTCTCTGGTTTGCATTCTTGTCGGCCATTCAGTAAATATTTGATATCTATACCAACCTCTTCACTTTTTCTAAGAATACTACTCTCATTCCGAATGGTATGGGGTTGCCTACATATTTCAATTCTCTGCCTGTTTTTGTTGTGAAATATTGTCTCATTGTTTTGTGGTTCAACATAAATTGTATTTCAAATAGATGAAATTTGTTGTTGTATCAGAATTATCACTCAAGTACATAAGACAAATTATCCAACATGTCAAATGGTCAAGATACAGATCCTGGCATGGCAATCAATGCAGCCGACATTCTACTTAAACAAATCTCTGTATAAGATGCACAAAGCAAATGGGTACTGTTTGTCACAGTCCCGGAGTGGTAAGCTATTGACACGCACAAGTTCTGGTCTCCAATCTCGGTGAGTAGATTGCATAGGAAGAATGAAATGATATACTAACCTGTTTGTCACAGTCCCGGTGCGGTAAGCTATCGGCACGCACAAGTTCCGGTCTCCAATCTTGGTGAGGGAAAGAGAGAGGAGCCCGGAACTGGGACTGATCAGACTATATAATATGTACATGCTTATCTAGGTTAGGGTTGAGACTATCACTAGACTCGGTTAAGCTTATGTAAGTACATAGTTATGGACTAAAACAAGGTTGTAATCTTGAATCTTCTATGAAATTCCAGCACTACTCTAACACTCTGATCGTAAGAGCATCCACATCAGTTGTTAACTTAGCGCGGATTAAGGCACTTAGTCCAGCCTCGCAACCGCACCGGTCCAGATTACGACAGGATCAACTTGACTCAGCTCTCCATTTGGAGCTAGTGGGGTCTAAATCTAGACCTCACTAATCCTGGGAATAAGTCCTGCATGCATATTCAAAAGGCATGAACACATACAAACTAGCTCCGATCAAGTCAGATCAACTGACCTCAAATACATAACACATAGATTTAAACCACCTTCAGCCACCACCAATGCGGCTGGAGGCCGAGATCACCTTAATCTTGTCCTAATCCAAGCTCGCTAATCCAGTGTAACTTGACCACTGATGCGGATGCTCTAAGTCTGTTCCTTTCCTTTTAGAACTAAACCAGGTTGGGCTTCAGCCCCTGACCTGTGAAGTTGCAACTGGGACTAACCCATAAAATTGTACCCTGAATACCAATTCCACAGACATTGAGGTATGTACAGGAAGAAATACAAGCTGACCCTAACCAGGCGCAAGATACCGTGTGCACCTCCTTCATGGAGGTGTAGACACGACAAACCACGTTCAGGCATACCCTATAGGAACCTGAGAGTGATAAGTGTATGATTCCATAGTGTAAAAGGAATCATCACTAACTCGGAATTCTCTTCCAAGACTTCCCCGGGTGCTGTGCTGCGGCAAGGCAGAGGCCTGTAACATGAATGTTACAACACCCCCCCTCTTGCCGCAGACACCCCACTACATACAAGTACAACATTCAAAGAAAAATGAATGAAAAAACAACCTGTTTTAAGCTTGAAGCATAGAGAAAAAACAAGAATGAAATAGAGAAATATTCTCAACCCATAACCTTATCACGCAGTCCGCCAAAAAGGTCAGGTGATAAACATTTGGTGAACACATCCACTTTTTGCTCCTTTGTCCTGACCCAAGAGAGTGTGGTCTTCTTCTGAAACAGAGCTTCATTAGTAATATAGGAATCCCTATCTGAGTGCCTAGTCCGCTTATTTGAAGCTTCATCTGTTGCCACCCTGACAGTAGATTGGTTATCACAATGGAGATGTCCAATGAAATCTATTTTCAAAACATCTTTTAGCAAATGTCTTACCCAGAGGGTCTGATGTGTTGCCACTCCCAAAGCCATATATTCCGCATGGCAAGTCAATGATGCCACTGATTGCTGCTGTCAAGCTACCCATAGGACTGGCAAATTGAAAGCTGTAATAAAAACTCCGTAAGCTGATCTAGAAAACTCCCCACCCCATGAAGCATCACAATAGGTTTTTAACGGTTTGTCGTCAAACTTTGGGAAAAGTGAAAGACTCAAGTCTCTTGTCCCTGCCAGATAATTGATCAGGTGGCAGACACCCTTCCAATGGATTTTGTCAGGTCGTGGTTCTGCTTCTCACGGCTTCTATTGGAGAGTTCAGATAAGCTGTGTACTGGCCACTTGTTAGCAGCTGCTATACTAAGCAGAACATGGAGTGCTACAAAAGTGGCTGTAGGCGCAAAAGTCTCATTAAAATCAACACTGGATACATGTGTGAAACCTTTTGCCACAAAACTTGCTTTGAAACGGACCCCAGTGCCATCAACATCCAGTTTTGTTGCAAAAACCCATCAACCGTTCATTGCTTTCTAGTCTGTTGGCATCAAGCAAACAAGCCATACCCTCATTTGTTCCAAATTGTTCAGCTCAACAGAAATTGCTTTTGACCACACATCCTTCTTGGGTGACTTCATTGCCTGTTTGAAAGTTTTTGGAACAGAAATGGCATAAAACTGACACAATTATAGGATTTTGTCAACAATCAATTCTTGGTCATGGAATTCAATCTCTCTGGTAAAATTGCCCAGCTGCATCAGGTTCATAATAAAATCCACACTCAAACAAGGTGTCTCATCAGCAAGTCCGGGGTCAATGTGGTTTGTTGCTGGTCCAGAATTTGATGTATTATTGTCAAGGTCATTGCCTCCTTTACCAATTTTTGTGAAGTGGGAGTGTTCCGCATCAACAAAAGTCACCAGGGCAGAGTTGACAAAACGGTTTTTGGAGGGAATCCAGAACATCCATCCCTTGCTCATTTCCAGATGTGCCACAACTTGTCCTTGTAGCGCCCTTGTGCCCAACTCCAGTCAATTTTCCATTGGTACGTGCACATATGCATAACTACCGAAAGCCCTAAAACAATCAAAGTGTGGTTTAATTTGGAAGAGAGCCTCATAAGGCTTGGGCATGAACACTGTGGACCAGATTAGATCTTTCTACAAGTTGGAGCCACTGGAAGACTCCAGTAAACTTCCATCAAGCAGATCTCATCACCTTGGAGTAACCCACTAATGACAATCATGTGCTCATAATGTCCCTTAAGTCTTGATGTTTTGATGTACAGAGAATTAAAAAAAAAGACAATACATTACCAGGAAGATACAAATGTTAAGCAGTTTTGACGGTGGGGAATCTAAAGTGGGTTGTTCTTAATCTGATAAATCTTCCTTTTGGGAAAAAGGAGGGTGCTTCAGACATGGCAATATCCCACTGGGGGATGCTACAAGACTGAAACTGCGGAATTAGTTACAAGGGGTGTCAAGGATACATTCTATATGATACTTCATTGCTACATGTGTGGCAAGGGGATAGGCTGTGGCATATTCCATTTGAAGAAGGCTGAAACCTTTGGCTATATCCTTGGAAATATGCCACAGGTGTTCTATAGAAGAAGTCTGAAACAAGTGGCTATTTCCTTGGAAATGTGCCACGTGTTTGTTACCAATGGGAATATGCATATTTGAGAGAAAAATCAGTTTCAAGTATTAAACCTGGTTATTGGAATGTTTAATTATACACATAAGCGATATTTCAACTCCTGCTGGGAGGTACACTCTATATCTTTAATGTAGATTTACTACATGGAGTAGTTGTTGAGCTAGTTCATTTAACTATAATCTCTCCTTCTAGTTTATGTGCTAAATACCTTTCACATACACTACTGCGTGTGGTGGATTGCATTTGGACACCAAACGGATGTACCGAAATGCATCTACTTTGTCCTGCAGAGTGCATCATTGATGCACTTTTCATTTTGCTGAGCTGCATGATTGGCGATCATCAATGATGTAGTTCAATGCCCTGAGCCAAAAAGAATTGGCTTTCATTGACATGACCTGGTGCTTTGTACAATCACCCAACCAGCCAGTGGCCAAGACATGTGCTACTGCCACTAAACTACGTGGCTTCTCACCACGGACAGTTGCCTGTTGCTGTGGCCTGATTTGTCAACTGCCGCTAGTGGAACAGTCACTGCTGAGGTGAAAAATCAGGCGGGAGCAACATGTGAATGTCTGTGGTGTCTGGCCATTCACCCCACAACGTTTTTTATAGCCCCCACCCACGCATTTCTGGATGGTTTTTCAACCATTGAACACCCTCCAAGCTTAATTTTCAACCATTGACTGCCTGATCCACGTGAAAACCATCAATTGGACACTCTGAGAAGTGTCCAATTGATGGTTTTTTTGTTGTCCAACAGACACTCTCAATCAAGTGTCCAATGGATGGTGGGCTGTATACCATCCTCTGTATGGTCTTGTCTGCCAAGCATCCGTTGGATGCTTTCTGAAGTTTCCAAGTGATGCCAGGCGTGCCCAAGTGTCCGTTGGATGCTTTGCAACCAAGCTGCGGGCGCTTGGGACCGAATCCATCCGTTTGCTGGGGGGGTTTCTAAAAACCTGCCCCATGGTGTACATGTCACAGCTGTTGTAGTACACCTGGGCCAGAACTGAGCTTGTGGAAGGATTCTCTTTCTTCATCCTTTCCACTATCTCATGTTCTGACCCAGGTGAGTCTAGCTCAGTTGTTTCTTTCTCTCTTTCTTTCATTTTCTTTCTCTCTTTTGTTTTTGTCATTTTTCACTCATTTTTATCATTACTGAAGCAATGCTAACTATCCTTTCCAATATCTCATTTTCTGACACAGTCCATCTTATCAGTAGTTGGAATATAGGGTAGCTTTGAGTGAGGTACTCTAGGTTATTCTTCATGTAGATTCAGAATCTTGAGAAACCATTCCATTGATATTTTGTATTCTCATTTATTTTCAGTACTATTCATGTAAAAACATCTCTGGTGAGTTATAATATCTTTTTGTATTTTCCAGAATGTTTGTGTACTATGATAGATTGTGTCTGACATAGTAGCAAGCTGACAAAATGTGAATTGTTACCCAAAACTCCTCCATGAACACCTCTTACTCACCTTTCTGATCCCATCCAGAACAGTTTCCGCCCTCCTGAACTTGTGAATGAATAGACTAAAGTATTGTATTTCATA